GCTGTCCGCGAGCGGCTGACTACATTCGCTACACTGTATACCCTGTAGTCTTTGACATCCGCAAAAGATCACGGACACGGTCACATACCCCTGGGCTGACGAATGTTTCTGAAGTTTCAAAGTCACATGTCCGCACAAGTCTCAATTTTATTCCGATGCAACTGGTACGCAGAGCGTACCTCCCTGCAGGTCTAACTTGCGCAGCATACTCAAGAAGACCATTCTTACCAGTTCCGTTTTTCCTCTCATGTTCGTGGACCATTATTAAAGCCCCTGAACCGTACACTATTTGCACTATTTCATGCCATACTCGCCATTGAACAGGAGCTGCTATTTCAAGAAGCCCCCTGCTTGGGCTCTGCCGCCTGCCAGCCAGTACCGATTCCAGCTCGCAGGGCCATGCACGGCACAAAGAGCACCCTTGCTTGGGCTTTGTGGTTTCCCCCCTAAACCCTAAACCCTAAACCCCTTTTTACACCTGGACTACGCATACCCTAAACCCCTAAACCCTAAACCCCTAAACCCTAAACCCTAAACCCTTGCTTGGGGCTTGGTGGTTTTATGGCGCTCTGACTCTCCAGGCGACGTGGTTCAGGGTTTGGGGGGGCTCAGGGCTTAGAGTGGAGGGGGCTTTTGATCTGGGAATTGTGGTTCAGACCCTCCGGCTTGAGTCAAGAGTCAGAGAGGCCGTAATTTCTACAGGGGAAAAGCGCTTAAGGGGCAGTATTGAGTCCAAAGAATCAGAACAAGGCTTCGAGGCACACGAGGGAGTCTCCTACACGCCCATATGCTATGTACATCCGTCTGCCCCAAATTGACGTTTCCCGGCTACAGTACCTGCCCACAGCAAGCCCAGAGAAGAGGAGGAGATGTAAACGAGAAACCGGAGAGCCGACCTCAACGGGATCCAGCAACCAAAAAATTCGAGGGCTCATGTTTAAGACTTTAAGATTTGGGGTCGACTCCAAAATTCATGGGTATGCTCCAAGGGAAGCTCTGGGAAGAGAGGGCCAGCGGCTCTGGGCGCAGGCAGGAGATCTTTAGGCATTTTTCTATCCCCTAAGCCTCCAAGAGGTAAGTCGTAAACCCCAGTATACTCGTACCTTCAAAGGAGAAAGAAGGGACGCTCGAAAAGTCTTTGACTAAGTGGATCCTCAATATGGCGAACCCAAAACTCCCCCGAGTTTAACGCTCGAAGCCCTGACTCCACACCAAAAACACTACGCACCGGACATTAAAAACTCACACAGAACACAACACTGTGTCCCAGAAGCCTAGATCTTTCGTGTACAACAGCCTTTTTTTTCCAGATAACCTTAGAATTTTTGAAACCTGTTCCTAAACTCTCCTCTGACTGTAGACGCACATTCAAGCTCGGCCACCGCCGCAGCAAAGAAGAATCGCGAAATGCTGACGGAGGCGGCTGTCCTTGGCTGGGCTGACCTCTGTGGGCTACCGGCTTAGGGCTAATTTACAAACAAGGGGGCAAGCACATGGCGAGCCTCTTGGCCCGAAGGACCGTCGTCCAGTTCATGCGCCAAGCATGGAGCAGACGCGGTTCTGAACAATTCCATACACTCGACAATCCGTGCCCTAACCATGCAACTTAGGCGGGGCAGAACGGATGCTGGCTCTCGTTGCTCCAACGGCCAGGCCCAGGTTCAAGCTGTCTATCGGGACGAATGACCGAAACCCCAACAGATCATGATTTTGTGAGGCAGCCGCCTAACACAAACCCTAGCAGCACAGATTCAACGTAGAAACCTATCGCAAGCCTGCGAGCAGAGTTTTGGAGATGGGGTTCCTTTATGGCTGAAGGCTTTGAAGGTACGATAGACACTATGTGCTCCGGGTTCAGGTGCACACCTAAACCCTAAACCCTGAGGCTTGTCGACTTTTTTCGTTCAGTGCTACATTGGACTTTGGCGAGCACCAAAGATCTCAACCCTCAAGCTCTGAAGCATCACGGAGATTACCCTAGGGGCCTCAATAATTACCTATACGATTTGGGGGGGGTTCCTTGTTATAATTATACCATAAAGGAGCCTAGAAATGTATTCTGATCTAATTATTAAAGGGCCCCTACACTACCAAGCAAGGGGCAGCTTCGAGGGGTGGACTTGGACTGCCTTGTCGAAGTCGTCGGAGAAGAGCGCTGTCCTCAGCTCGACAACAAGTCGGGGATCAGAAGGTTTCGGGTTTAGGGTTTAGGGGTTTAGGGTTTAGGGTTTGCCGACAGGTCGGGGATCAGAGGGTTTATAGGGTTTAGGGGGTTAGGGTTTGAGGACAGGTCGGGGATCAGAGTGGTGAAGGCCGCGTCTTGCCGCTGGCAACTCGGAAGCTCCAGGCGAGGGCTATTTTCGGAAGCTCGAACGTTGCAGCGCAGGTGGGTCTTTATCTCTTTGCAGCGTTGGGGCTTGCATCTCCGAGTAAAGAGTTCCGGCCTGTAGATGAGATTGGCATGTATTAGTTCTCGGACTATGGAAACACACCCCAATAGAAACCAGGAAGCTGAAACGAAGAGAACAAGCTTCCAACAGGTAGCCATCCAGCTTCACCTTCAACCCCGAAGCCCTGTCCGGCAAAACAGAACTACTCACCGCAACCCTAGGCCCTTGCACAGAAGGAGCCGGAGCAAGAAACATTCAAGCCGGTGAAAACTGTCATGCTCATGGCCTTTTGCTAATTGAAGGCGCCCCCCCGCCCCCCACCCCCCAGTCTGGCAAACGGAGGGCATGGCCAGTTAGTTGGATGGTGAAACCCTGGCTTTGGGCATCGAGCTTGCGGACCTGAAGTGCCTAGACCCTAAGCCTAAACCCATCCCCAAATGTTGTTAGGCCTAAGACGAACCGAAATCACTCGAAGGAGGTCTCTTTCTTGGTTGGACAGAGTTTGGGCCAGTATAGGGGCCTAAGTAACCTATACTATTTTGGGGTTCCTTATGAGCCTTATGAAATAATTGTAGCAAAGTACACCCGCAAACCCTATTCAAATTATTAAGGCCCCTATGCTAGCGTTCAGGGATGGCCCTGAAGGGCCGCTTTGCGTTGTCTGCAGTTGATCTAAGCTGAAGCCCAAGGGTCAGCGACAAGCATGTGGCTTCGTGGAATCCTTGGGCAAAAGCCACCACTGTAGGCACGATCATCGAAACCTCAGCGCGCTTGGAGATCTGTGATCCTCTCTGTTCCACCCCCTAAACGAATGCACACAACCAGGGACATACCCAGAAATTAACGAGCGACTCTTACAGCAAGCTTTTTGCTAGAGAACCTTGTCTGGGGAGCTTGGGAGCAGACTAGAGGGGCCTTCACGATTCTTCAGGGACTTTGAGCGATAGTGACACTGACTACTCCTATCTTGCTGGCGACCTCCATCCGGAAAGGTTGCAGGGCCGATCGAAAAACCAGAACCCGGCTCCTGAACCCGCCTTTGCAGCTTTCGCGACAGAAAGCAAAGCATCAAGCCAGCGGGAGGGCCAACTACAGCACAAGCAAATAGCCCTAAGCAGGGTTGTTCTATAATGCTCCGACCTCGATCCCCAAAACGGCACCAGCATTTACCCTGCTTCCCTCGAGATTTATGGCGTAGGTAGTTGGAACCGGCAAATACCTGCTGCGCGGGGATGCCTGTGAGTCTTCGTGCCCGCCGCACTCTCCGCACAAGTGTACGTTCGAGTGAACCAGCAGCAAGAGGAGGGACAATCAAACACAAAAACACGATGTGAATTGGCATGCGGGCAAACAGATCGACAGATCGATTCAGCCAGTGAAATTCGGGACAACATACCGATATCCGAGCAGCGACAGCGCACTGCATCCAACTGCGAAGAGCAAACACAGCCCGGTCCGGTCCTTCGAGTGTTGGTTCAAAGGCACTGGTCAAATGACATGTACACCTGCGAAACCACACGAGTTGATTCTGAGACTGATGGCAGACATCTTCAGTTGAGCCTGCTATGGCGGTGCAGCTGCAACAAGGTGCAATGCTGAATACGGATATCGCGATCCGGATGGTATACCGTCGATGCCGACTCACAGACACATGTGCACTAGCGTCAGTGTTACAACCTAGTAGCAGTGGTGGTCGAAAGTTTAGCAATAGAAGTAGAGGCAGAGCTAGAGGTGGAAGTAGAAGCCCCAGAAACAGAAATAGATGTAGAAGTTTGTAGTACAGGATGAGGAGGAGGCGGAGGAGGAGGAGGACGAGGACGAACAGCGGCGGCAGCAGGAGTAGGGGGAAGCAGGAGCAGTAGAAGTAGCAGCAGCAGCCTTAGCGATCAGAAGATCTTCCGTGTATTGTGCATGCCCTTTAGACCATTACAGTGTCTTCTGAGCAGGCTCGGGCACTTCATTGCTTCAACATTCAGATCTGGCGGGAGAGGTTATGATGCTAGGTTCAGGCGTGAGGATCGCTTCAAGGAGTAGCGCGTGGACACAGGTGCTCTAGGAGCCCACATCTGTCATCCTGTCTTGGACCCAATAACCTCTAATCTCGAAACCTTTACACCTGAAGCCAACACTCTAATCCCGCAATTGAAACCGACGAAGGTTTCTGAGTCGGGAAGATCGGTTCGGGATCCTTTTCAAGTTTTGGCAGACCTTGCAGAAGAAGTTGATTCTTAGCATGAACACGAGTTTCGGCTTAGCTCAAGGTCGTTTCTGAGCCCCAAAGCCGCTGCTCCTCGAGCGCAAAGAAACTTGATTGCGAAGGGGATGGCAACCATCGTCGCCAAGCACACCTCGGCGAATTCAGCGGCTTTTCTTGTGCGTTGCTGAGTTCACGTCTTATAACCGATGGACTTCAAAAGGCCATTATTGCCCGAAGTACACACTATGAGGTTCGTACGTTGCGACTTTGGACTTATAGTCTTAAAGAGAGTTGGTGCTGGCGGAGTGGCTGAAGGACGCTCGCTCGAGCTGTGACTCGGAGCAGAGTTTGCTCTCATACCACAAAAAGAGAAGCTGAGGTAGTTGAAGGCACACCCTCTGCAGCTTGGCCACCACCGCAGAAGCATAGGACATCCAGGGTGCCAGATCTGGCCACAAAATGGCCTTGGGTTGCTTTTGATTCCTTTAAGGCTCTGTCGGGATTCTGGCGGACCGGAGCTTCTGGGGGCCTTGAGGGGCAGTAGTTTAGGCATAAGGAGGGTCTGTCAGAGCTTGTGGTTTTGTTTTGAAGGATTCGGGATGATCCAGGGTTGTCCTAAACCCTAAACCCTAAACCCTAAACCCTAAACCCTATAATAAACCCTATACCCTAAACCCTAAACCCTAAACCCTATAATAAACCCTATACCCTAAACCCTATAATAAACCCTATACCCTAAACCGTGGGTTCGGGCGCCTCAGAGCGCGGGCTTTTCGCAGGTCCGTATGGGTGTTTTTATCGGGCTTTGCACCTACCTATAGTCTCATGGTTGTTCCTTTTTTTGGGTTTGACCATTTATATAATATTGCACCTACCTATAGTCTCATTGTTGTTCCTTTTTTTGGGTTTGACCATTTATATAATATTGCACCTACCTACAGTCTCATTGTTGTTCCTTTTTTGGGTTTGAGCATTTATATAATAAGGGTTTTATAAGGTATCCCCAAAAACGAACATAATAAGGGTTTTATAAGGTATCCCCAAAAAGGAACATCAATGGAGGCTATAGGTACGGGCTTCGAGGCGGGGCTGCAGTGCTTTATCCGCCCAGCTCAGGCTTTGTAGGGGTTCAGGGTTTGGGGTTTCGGGTTTGGGATTTAGGGGGTTTGGGGTTTCGGGTTTAAGGTTTTTTGACACCTTTTTCCAGCGGGTTTAGGGTTTAGGGGTTAAGGGTTTGGGATTTACCCTCTTAACGCAAGAGTGCAAAGGGACAGCCGTGGATGAGAACGGATCGAAGCCTGGCTGAAGATCAACTGAAGGTAAAGAGCCGGAGCCTAAACCCAAAACTCGAAACCCTAAACCCAAAACCAGAAGAACTTGATGGGTCGGAAACACCTCAAACATGGCCCAAGCAATCCCACGGTCTGCAAGCCAGAGATCATCGGCGATCGCCGCAGCCGCTGAGGCACCCCAAATGAACATGGCCCAAATAGTGTTGCCTTTTAGGGCTGTAGGGCTTTCGGGTCCTATGAGGGTTTAAAGCTTTGGGGCTCTGGGGTTTTAGGGCTTCAAGAACTTCTAAGGGTTTTGAGCTCTAGGGTTTATGGTGTAGCTGTGTGGGAGGACCTCCGCTGCCTACCCGGGGATTTTAACCGAATCGAAGTTGTGGGCTCCTCCTGTTGTCTTCATGATGTACTTGTTTGCCGGTAGTGTGTCGATGGCTGACCTGGTTTGGGCTGTCCCACCTTCCTCAACCCCAAACCCTAAACCCTAAACCCTAAACCCTAAACCCTAAACCCTAAACCCTAAACCCTAAACCCAAACCTTAAAACCTAAACCCTAAAGTTCCGGTTCAAGGTCTGCCCGGCAGCCCTTCTCAGCCCAGACGGGTCCCTGAACTGGGTTGATATAGGGGCCTTAATAGTTAGAATAGGGTTTTGGGGTATATGATACTATAGTCATAATAAGGAACCCCCAAAAAGTATTGGTAATTATCTAGGCCCCTATATTACGTGCTCTGACAGGTTGCTAGCGCAAGAGTGTCTTTGTTGTTTGCTGCTGCTTCTTTTGTGTTGTTCCTACGGGGTGGTGCATTTCTTTCAACTGTGGCTGCCGGGGGATGTTTTTTTTTTTTATGCTGAGGGGCGGCGGACTTAGAGTCTTTGTTTTTGCTGGTCGCATCTCTTGGTGCTTCTGGTGGGAGGGGGGTGTTTGTTTGTTGTTGTGTTGTTGCTGTTCCTGTCGGGTGGGGGGGTCCTTTTTTGTGGTGGTTGCTGCCCGGAAGCGCTCGCTCACTCACATGTTGCCGGGGCTTTGTCTGCGAGATTCTGCGAGCACAGCAACCAAACACAGCGACAGCAAAAGCAAACTCCCAAGTTCCAACGCAGCGAAATCGTAGCAATGGCCATGCACGCAAGAAACACGTCAGCAAGGCGTCCGAACTTCCACTATCCGAATTCCGAAACGCTAAGAAAACCTAATCTTCTAAACCTTAGGAAAATAAGAAGCTCTGAGCCCTTCCAATCCTTAGTTCCGCTGGGTGTTCGATGCTAGCAAGCTGCAGGTCAGATCCGTAAATCCTGCAGTGAAATGCAGACGCAGGGCTTGCCGGGGCATGGGTAGGGATACGCGTCTCCAAAATCCAACGGAGCGACACAACTGCAAGCCGAAGCCGTAAACGGTGTCTGGAAAACTATACAATTTTGCTGCTGGGGCAGAGAGCTCTTCGCGTTTCATACGGCATTGATTTTTGCATGGTCCATGGTAATTGGCTAACACTTGGACCGACATCTTGTCAAGAGGGGGCCAGGGGTTCCACTGGAAGAGGGGTTAGGGGTACGTGCTGCCGTTCGAAGAAGTCCTAATACATTTCTATCAGAGCAACGTCTCAATTACTATCCTATACCTAGGTGGGCATTGAACTACCCTAAACCCTAAGCCCCGAGTTAAACCCTAAATGGGCATACGCTTCAGGGTTAGGGCTTTGAATGTCGGGTTCTAGAGTTGAGGGTTGAGGGTGGTTTAGAAAGTGTCTGTCACTATCGTGCAGGTGTACATGATGTGGGCTTATAAACCAGACAGGACAAAAACAGAAAGGCCATCCTATCCAGGGCATGAATTCCGCGCTTGAACTAGGCATTCAACAACCAAGTTCTGCAGGACGGACCCGAGTCTGCGAAACCTCCACGTCAAACCACATCCCCGGGCCGCATCCTGATCCGCTGATCTCGACCCCCTCGTCCCACTCACGTCGTAGGGTCTCCTCAGCACTACAGGAGACAGGGCCTGGAAACGCGACATCGGAGTTCTACGGGTGCTTGGGTTAGTAAAATGATCCAGGAACAACCCTCAACCCCTAAACCCAGGAATTCTGCCCAAGAGGCATTGTACGCCCCTGCCATGCTCAAGATCCGGATGACGGCATCCACCTTCATGGCAGCGACTCGGGCGCCCAAAAACGCTGCAGTTTGTGTTTACGGATCAGGGTTCATTACTGTTTCAGCACTCACAACTGGGACCAGCCTGGAAAGGAGGGTCTGGGCCGTTTTGGGTCCCTGGTTTGCAAACACCGCGCTTTTCAGCTGTACTATAGGGGCCTAAGTAATTACCGTTACTGTTTTGGGGGCTCTTTAATATAATCATAGTATAATATACCCTGAAACCCTACTGTAATTATTAAGGCCCCTTTTTACACAGCCTACGCTGTTGGCTCGTCTGGTGATCTGCAATTGTGATCCTTTTTGCAGCCAGGCCTCCTGAGGAAGCCCCTCAATCCGAGACTCCCAACACCGCAAGAGTGCCACAAATGATCCGGAAAGCCCGCTGGCAGGGAGTTTTCGGGCGGGAGCAACCACATAGCCGAGACTTATACCCCTTCACCCTATATGAGGTATCGCAGCACTCTAAAGCCTAAAACAAGTGAAACTAAGCATGCCTCCAAGCGACCCACCATCCACACGATACGGAAAACAAAGCTTAGCATCATCTTGAAAATAGTGTGGCTACGCCGGTGACAATCATCTAAACCAAGAGTTGAAGAACCGGCATGACAACAGCAACAGTGGTGATGGTGATGATGACGGTGATGGTGGTCATGATGTGGCATTGAGTCTGTTGCATGCCAGAATACGCTGCCAGCATAACGGGAAGTGTACTGACTTGAAAGCTCAATAGCATTCACGCGAGCAGTGGTCGTCACAGTGGCGCTACGTGCCAACAAAGCATGAAGTCGCCTGTCGCCATCATCTTACAGTGGAATCGAGCCATTCAGGTTGTTCATCCTACCTACACACAAGAAGAAAACAAGAGAAGGTCTGGTCTTGCACCCTCTTCTAAAACCACGGCATGGACTCTTTCATCTATTGAAGCCTTATCAAGCACAAAGGCACTGCTTCAAGTCATAGAACCCCGGAAAAAACACCGTAGAAACCCATCAAAACCTGCTCAACGCTACTTACCGTCAACAAGCAAACAAGCCTTCCAGCCCCCTTCGGAACAACCTTTTCATACGCCTTACTTACAACCAAATACAGCCCGCATGAACCCGTTGGGACCGTTTTCACCGTAAAGACATCCGTCGGCCTCCGCCTCTTTGCCTTCAATAGCCCGGCGGATCCGCTCTTCGTCCCTGGGGTTGGAGCAGCGGGCCTCAGTCGACATCCGCTTATGACCACGGGCTTCTTTCAGCGGATCCTATAGTTAGTGAAGGCCTCTTTCAAGGTTCTAAGTTTCGACTCTCACACTCGCACAAGGCTGGCAAGGTTCTACGTTTAGGGTTTAAGCGTTGGTTCGGCATTTCAAGGTTATCAGGGGCCTAGTCTGCTAGATTGCTACGGCTCCAGGCTGGGTGGGTTTGGGTTTTCGAGTGTATAGCTTGCCAACTGGACGGATGCTAGGGGTTTGGCTCTTTCCCTATAGTCCCTTTTATGTCTATAAAAGTCTACTATACCCCAAAACACTATTCTAATTAGTAACATTACTCCTGTATAGTCCCTGTTATAGCATTATTCCCCTATAGTCCCTAGTATCGCTAAAGTATACTATACACCAAAAGCCTGTTCTAATTAGCAGGACCCCTATATTAGTCATCGAAAGTCTGCTCTCGACAGCCCATACCCCTGCTTGGGTCTGGATGTGAGGGTTTGATGCATCCCTGCTGGTATACACAAACTTCACCATCAAGAGACCAACGGCCATCCCGATCGCACTGAGGCGCCATCATCTGTGCAAGTCTACAGTCAACCCCAAAAAGTTGCAAACAGGACGAATAGTGCTGGGATTTCCTATGCATTACTCTTAAGGATTGAAGCTGTTGGGTTTCCAACTGTTGGGCTTCTACTATAAGCCAACATGGAAGAACCCCTCCCCACAGGGTCCCTGCAATACCTAAAGCCTAAACTCTTCCGCAAGCAAAGCTGCGTTCCAGGCTAGTCGAGCTTGCAAGTCTGAACACCGCGTGCATGCCAACAACTGCTTGGTAAGCTCTACCGATTCCGATGTACCATACTATTACTGTGCTCATTTAAGAGCCTTCAAGTTTTAAGGACCCGCCCTTTTTTTTTGGGGGGGGGGTTTAGGCTTCCCAAAGACCAAACGGTGCCAGCGGCATTTCGCACCGAGTCGAAGTGCAACAGCTCCCTTTGAAGCAGGAGTTCCTCCCGGAGGAACCAGGCTCAGGGTTTATAGCTTGTTTCTTCTTGTATCTGGGTAGTTCTCTAAACTAGGGTCCTGTTTATAAGGGCGCCGTACTATGTTTGAGATCTAAAAGGGGACCCTAATTTAGAGAACTACTTATTTTTTTGGGGGGCCCTGGGTTCGGGGGGGGCCACCAGATTCGTGGTTGTGGAGCCGAACCCTTTTTTGAAAAGGCTTCTGACAGCTTCTGACCGAGCGACGACCCTGAGCTTCTGCAGAGCATCGACGGGCCCGCCATGCCACCGAAACCCCAAAACAAATAATTATGCAACCTCAACCTCAACACGCTCGGATTGTGGAAAACTTGGTATCGAGATCGGAACATCGAAAGGAGGGGATTGATCAAACCCAGATCCCGAATCCCAACAACTAAACACTTCAGATTGCGCGCCCGTTGTCCCACACCCGAAGCCCTGGCGAGACACGCCTTATAACAAAGGTCTTAGTCTTTAAACATCACAGAGAGCGATCGAGTACTCCAGCGAAAACTACACAGTGTCGAAGGCTCTTTGGCGGCTTGGTCCCCAACCCACCCCGCCTCACCCTCGAGGTATACCTGCCCGAACAATGCCACGCAAGCGGTCGATATCCTGACTCCACATTGGCTCAGAGTTGTGGCTCAGCTACGAACGCGGTTCGATTAGTATAAACCCCTGATCGGCAACCCCGTTCCGCTTACAGGAATTATGGTAGGCCAAGATTAGCGCCCCGTAAGTCAAGGCAATCAGGGGTCTACATTAAGTGACTAGGAAATTTAACATCGAAAATCAGGTCCAGACATGGGGATCATAGGCTTCAAATACTGCTGCCGCTCTCCAAACCCCACTATCGGGGCTCCTCATTGTAAGTGTAGTAAAATATTCCCCACAACCCAGTTTGACTGTATAGGACCCAAACCGAAAAACCTTTGAGGAATTTTGGGCCCTGGATGCGCTAGACTCCTTTGCTCAGCTCAGTTTGGGACCTGCGATGAAGGTTTCTGGGTTCAAGGAAGCGCAAGAGCAATTCTTCAAGTTGTGGTCAGGGCTGCTTCATTTCAAAAGAAGTTGCCGAGCCCGAACCCTAATTCCACAGTCGTATAAACAACTGTTACGCCGATTTTGGGAACCCTGAAACGCCTAAAATTATATTAACTCGCAATCCCTAAGCCCAATGAAATAAAAAAATGTAAGCCCCGTGAGAACCTTAAAATCTAGGTGACCTCAAAATCTCTCCGCACAGCCGCGCTGGAGCGCAAGAAGGGACCCCAACAAGGCACCTACACATAAACCTCTGAAGGTAGTATCCCCACAAGAGGGTATAGGCTTGCACAAATTGCGCGGTGTCGTCGTTGTTTGCTCTGTCGAAGCGTGTACGGCGGCTTACGGTTCAGAGGCCAGGGCTTTGGCTTACATGCAGAGTGAGGATCAATACTTGGCCTTTAAGCGACGGTACCGGTGTTAAACGTTAGAACTAGACCAACCAGACAAAGAATCGTTTTTACCTGCCGGGAATGAATGAAGCCTGCGCATCACTCCTCACCCCAGGCGAAATCGAACCCTGAATCTTCGACACAAGTCGATAGATGCCAACTTTGCTTGGGATCTTTCCATAACCCGCCTTTCTGGGCCATGACATTAAAATCTCCATTGCATTTGTCTTATGGTTATTGGTGGAAAACGTGCAAATAAACGCATTGACCTTAAAGCGCCAACCATTGCTTCGAAGAATGCACCACTTTGCCGCCAAGGTGCACGGCCATGTTGCCCGGCACGCCGAAATGCAAAAGGTAGACCTCGATAGCCAAAGCAGGACATAGACAACATATTGATAGGATGTCCCAAGCGCGGCAGCAGAATCGCAAACACAATGCACGTAGACACATGTACGGGGCTGTCTGAGAATGAATCAGGACCTGGAGGTGTAAGGCCGAGATTCTTTGGGTAAGGAGACCCATGATATGGGTGTGGTTCGGATTCGACAGGCTGGAAGCTGTGCATTGCAGTAAGGCTGCTTAAATCGCGAATCTGGGAACAGGCTGCAAGTGAAGTGTTGCCAACCTTGAATTACAACCGCCGGTCCTAATTTAAGGCTTGCCTTTGGAGTTTCAAACTGAAGGGCTCAAAGTGGCAGTTTTCGTGAGGATTGCTTTCGAGCTCAGCTTCGTTCGATGGGTGGGTCATGTCATGTGTCAGAAAGTTGGACCCGTGCATTCCACTAAACTTGTGTAATGAATTTCCGTCACCAGACCCGCAAACACCACCACAAACAAACAGTCCAAAACTGACAGAAACGGTTGAGAAACTCGACTAGAGCGTTGTGGCGTTCTTGGTCCTTTGCACCGAGGCTCGGTAAAAATAACCTGAACGGGCCTTCTGCAAACATACCCGAGGCGCGGCCGTACGCCCTGGTCCCTATACCCCACGCCTAAACCTCTGAACCTTGCAGATCTCATGCCTCGTGTGCTCTCAATGTCGTCCTTGAAGAATATCGCAATACAGGACCGCATGCGCCAACGCATCCCACAACCCGCAAGCATCCCCAGCGTGTTCATCCTCTAGATCTTCCATGAACATGGCGGGTTTAGGGGTTTTGGGTTGACGGTTTAGTGGCGGGCAATAAGTAGAGCAATCCGGCCTGTAATCCAAAGACTACCCAGGGCCCAATCCCAACCCCTAACCGGCCGTAACCCCTAACCCGAAACCCTCTACAGCCCCCCTCACCCTAAACCCCAATATGGGCAGAACCCCACAAGCTCGAGCAGCCTTGCTATACAAGCCTAAGAGAACCCAAGTCGTATACCTCTAACTCCCAATGCTGCGAAAACAAATTCGCGAAGTCCCCATCAATATCGATTTAGGTTGTAAGGTTCAGGGTTTAGGGTTTCAGCATAAGTTCTTTGCAGGCTAGATCGTAGTACAATATAGGGGCGTGAATGATTTGAATAGGGCTTTGGGGTTATATTAGGTTATACCATAATCATGAAGAGCCCAGAAATACGGCTGATGACATGAATCCTGCATGATCCATAGTACAAAATATACCATCTTTCCCGTTGCTTAGGGTTCTTACGGCAAAGCAGGATTTATAGCATGGACAGTAGTATGGGTAGTCGCCTGGTGCCTGATTCTGGGAGCTGAAACCCTGACACGAAAAGTGGAGTGGGAGAGCCTGGGCTTTAGGGATTTAGGGTGTAGAATGTAGGGATTTAGGGTTTAGGTTTAAGGTGTGCAATATAATATAGGGCTTAGTGTAGAGTTTAGTGTTTAGGGGTTAGAGCTGATGCCCCGGCACAAAAAGTGGGGTTCTTAGAAAGGGCCCTTTAAGGGTTACTAGAAGGAATACTGTGGGGGTTAGATATGGTATAGGAGCCTTAATGATTGGAATCTTGTGTTGAGGTATATTACACTACAGTTATAACAAGGAACACCCCAAACATGGTATAGGTAATCATTCCGGCCCCTTCATTAAGAGGAAGGTTTCGGCTTTAGGGATTTAAAGGGTTTCAAACACTTGACACGGGGAGAGTGGCTCCTTTCCGGTAACGCTCAGGATGGGAGTCTCAGGAAATGAGGGACCCTGGCAATAGAACCCTATTAAATAGTACGATTCCCCCATATACACCCTGGACCTCTACAAACCCTAAACCCCTTAACCCTAAACCCTAAACCCCCCCAAGCCCTAAACACCTAAACCCATAAGACCGAGACCTGAAACCCCAAGGGGCCAAGAAGCATACCAGTACTCATAGCCCAAAGTCGCGTGAAACCAGGGCATCACCAGGGACCAGCCTGGGATGGCAAACGCGCAGCTCATGGGGTTCAGTCCAGTCAAAGGAGTGAAGGTTCGGGCTTTTTTGGCAGGCCCAGAGTCAGGCTAGGATTCGGTGTTACAACTTTTAAGGCGCAGGCTACAGTAGAGGGCTCAGAGTCGGGCTAGGATTTGGCTTTACAGACTTTACAGATTTTAAGGTGCAGGCTACAGTGTCTCTGGTTTACGGCTTTGTCGGATTTGACGTCCTGTAACACATGAGGTGTGGCATCTATGGTCTACCCGTAGTCCCCAAGATTTTCCAGCAACAGAATCGGCAGGTAAGGTTCGCGAGGCGTTTAGTATACTCTGCAAACGCCCACAACCATCAATAACCCCCTACAGCTTGGGCAGTTGGCTCACACTGCGCTACATACGCATCACAGCGCGAATTTGAATTGACATATCAGCAGTACTTGCGCAGGGTTGCTGATTCTAAAAACTAAAACCGAAAACTCCGCCCTGTCAACAACTCGGAGATGGCTATGGAACCCTGAAAAATTCGTAAGAGTGTCCCTTCCGGTTCCTATGTAAACTGTGTACGTACACATCAATACTTAGCCCCTAAACCCTAAACCAAAACCCTTGGGCGCGTGACACTTAGGGTGTAGCGGGCCTGGGGTTTCAACATGCTCAGGATTTGGGATGATTTGGGTTTGGAGTTTCGGGCTTGAGGAGGGTTTTAGGGCTGACTAACTACAGGGTTTCGGCATTCACACTGGGACTTTCCAGGCGAGGCATGTTCCTCAGAGGCTGAACTAAGACACTGGGTTCTCCTCTAAACCACAAGCCTGAAGGTTTCTGTGGGGTTTGGGTTTCTTCAGTTTTTTGTTCAACGGCTTGATTTCCAGGGCTTCGGGGCTGGCGGGCTCTGGTAGGAGGCCATTTGAAAACTCATGTTGTGCTTTCCAACATACATAATTGACTTCGCAATATGCCAAAGCTATTGGCTTTGGAGTACTGCACTTCCTTCCGAATGAAGAGAAGTGCCTGCTACTTATGACTATTCATATTAATAAAACCGTGGAGTGTTTGCAAAACCGGCCCGGCAGCCGAGGACAACGGCGAAGATGAAAAGGTAGTAAATCACGGCCATGCACGTGGTGAACCTTTTTAGGATTGTGATGGTTTCGATGAGGGTTTAGGATTCAGGTTTGGGAAAGGGTGCAATCCGGGATTCAGGGATGCTGTTTGTGTCTCGCCACTTAGCAAGGACGAGATTCTTATGGCGACTGCGATTCTTGAGCCGGATAGCCGAGCAAAAGGGGGCCTAATAATCAAGACATATTTAGGGCTATTATATTATACAAGAACGATTATACCAGTAGCAACTATTCAGAGTCCCCATGCCTAGGCCATTAAGTCCTGACTTGAGTCCAACGCTTCCCGAAGTCAGAGGTCCCCAAGCCGTAGATTGTAGCCCAAAACTCCTCGAAACTCTTCACATGTTGAAGACACTTGCGTCTCTTTGGCCAAGCCGCTCGCCATCTGGGCCCCTGGGATGTGCAAGGGATGCGGGCCATGGAGGTTTTTGGGTCCATCGTTTCTCTTGGGCTTTTCGGGTTTCAGCTACACCGCACCCTAAACTCAAGGCAATGGCCGCCCACGTACTGCGGGTGGGCGGCGCTGCAACAATCGCGATCGCGAAGGGCCGACCAGTACGCCCACAGCCATGGGGACTGTAGCACCCACGTCGTACCGGTACCGGAGCACGTTTTCCCCCGGCACAAGTATACTGGTCCCCTCGTTACCCCAAACCGGCGGGGTTTTTGCCTGCCCCCCCCCAAAATGGGACCTTCAGGGGGCGGCCTCCAGCGAACAGAATTCAAGGACTCCCAGGCGGCTCCACGGTCCCTCCCTGCCCCTGCCTTGCCCTGCCCCCTTGCTGGAAGAAAAATGCGATGGCATGAGTTTAGGCCTATCCCCGAAAAAGGAATAGGTTTGGGTGCTTCGCCGCCTTATACGGCGTGGGAAGGAAACAGGGAAAAAGGCCTCGGTAAACAGGCTTTCGTAGCTCGTCACGAAAGTACGACGCACTCGACACAACCTTGTCGCAAGACACAGTCGCCTGAGTGCTATTCCACAGCAAACCCAAAGCCCTAAGCCCTAGACCATAAGGGTTCATAAATCATCCGTATCTTTAAAGAGTCCGTGCAGAACGGATTTGCTGTTACGACCCTCATAAGCATTATTGCTATCGTTGTTGTTAATGTTCTTTGCTGCTATAGTATTGCTATTACTATGGCGAAGCCAAGCTTCGAAACTACACTTGTGGCTGCCAGAAGCAGGATGCCCATGGCGGCCCACTCGATGAAGCAGCCTTAGACTTCTTGGAGAGACGGCGCAGGGTTTGGGCACTTCTCACGGTGTACCGCCTAGGGTTCCGTAGGCTTTTTTACTTCCCACAACATTTTATAGGATTCCCCTTTGCTCTAGGTTAGGCTTGCTTTTTTCATGCAGCACGTTGCTTAAAGATTTGGGTAGGGATCGAAGCAGAAGGTGAAAGGTCCAGCAAGGGAGAGGATAATAGATGCAGGGCTTACAGACAAGCATCATAATTAGATCAGAACCCCTGTATGGGGTTCCTTTTAAAGGGGTACTATAAGGGTTACTATGAGGGTTACTATGAGGGTGTTCAGCAATACCTGAACTTTACGCCCTAAGACTTAGAGTTCTTTAATCGGGTCATGGGCCCATCAAACCACTGACCCAAACCCTTGAAGCCTTTCAGCCCTAACCGTGAAACCCAAACAAAAGAGCCATGAAGCCTGCAGAAGTCTTTTGCAGCTGAGATACTCCAGAGAAGGACCTGGGTTTCTATCTCCCTGGTGAACTGCTTCCGCACGACTTCCCTCAGAGACGCTTGCATGGCTGAGTCCTGTTTGAAGAACAACAAAGCCTCGAACTCCTGAAGCTGTGATTGGTGGTGGTGGCGGTGGTGACGATGATGTGATGATGGCGGTGGTGTCGGTGGAGGTGGCGGTGATCGATGGTGATGGTTGATGGTCAGGATGACCATGCTGATGTTATTACGAGCCAAAGCTTCTGCAAAAAGACCCCGGCAGCGGTTGCCTGAGTCTCCGAAGCCCTGAACTCCAATCCCAAGGCCTTGAGGGTGTAAGGCTTAGGAGTCCAACATACCGCCTTACCGAAACACCTTGAAGTTCAAGCTGAGCCCCCGATATTGCGGGGATGAAGCAGTCGCTGGCATGTCAGACAACGGTCAGCTACAGCATTTTCGGCGGGAGTCACACCGAGAACACGGTACCATGAATAGTGATATCTGCTGTTCAACTGTAAACGCTCAATGCTGAAAGCCCCCGAACTCTAAATAAGACTATGATACTTCGTCCAGTGTTTTTTTAAGGTTTGGAGTCTAGGGTCTTTGCGCAACTGGCCTGCAACGATGCAGCAATGCCACTACCCGCAGCAGCTTCTTTGATTGAACCAGCAAGGAAGCAATTCAATGGTCATATCCGAACCCTAAACCCTAAACCCCTAAACACTAAACCCCAAACCCTGCAGCCTGCAGCCAAGCCACCAAAGGAGTCCCAAAAGCAACCCCAGAATGATGGGAAGCAGCACCGTCCTGGCATCAGAAAGCTCGCAGAGTCAAATGTAGGGGCCTTGATAATTAGAATAGGGTTTCGGGGTATATCATCCTATAAGTATAATAAGGAACCCCCAAAATAGTATAGGTAATGATTTAGGCGCCTGTATATAGTGTAGGGCCATTGGGGTTTTGAGGTTGGAAACTTTCCAGCAATTGCAATAAGAGGTGTAGGTTTCCGGCGCTCGGTATCAGTGCTTTGGTTTAGGGCTGTTACGCTCTCGCAACTCGGACACTGCCAGACGAGGTCTCTCGCGTTCAACTGGAAAACATCTGCCTACAAGGAAGCGAATAATCATCGTGAGTTAACCTTTTAGATGGCCAACGTTTGTCCTAAAGCGCGAGTGGAACTACCCTAGATGGTCCATGTACCAGCCCGCGAGTGATCACTGCATTGTGAAGTTCTTTGGTCCGGTACCTTCATGGGGCCGGGATGAGGTATTGGTTGCCTATGTTTGTCATAGTGGCGCTGTGGTGTCGCAGTTTAGGGCTGTTAGGGTTTGGGATTTCGGCTCAGGTTCGCGCGCTGGATTCCAGTCGCACCTGATGACAAATTGAAAAATGTATTAGGACATTGGAGTTTACGGTATTGCAAAAGTTTAGAATGCGGAGTTTTGGAATGATTACCTTGAACTGCTAAGCATACCCTATACAGAGCAAAGGTACGGCTGAACATTAACTCCTAGACCCAGATAATGCACCCCAATTGGCTTGAAATCCCAGTCAACCCTGAAGAAACCCTGGCCCTGCAAAACGGTCTTCGCATGTGTTCACTATTCATTACTTGGCTCCTAACCCTTTTTGGAACCCAGACTCTGTTGATCAGCTGCTAACCCTAATTAGCCTAAACCCTAAACCCTCTAGGAGCCAGCACACAAAACCGCAAAACACCATCTGACAACCTCAAACCAGGTCTTTAAGCACATCCACAACTGTAGGGGTTAGGGCTTATGCAAGCCCGGGCTCTAGAAACTCGAACTGACCTGGGGCCCCTCTGCAGGTCTCTTTTTGAAATAGATTTCGTCGGATCAACACCGAGTTCCCAGACAGCGTGAAATGTGGCTTAAATCATTATATGAAGGCCCTTATAAACTGGGTATATTCCTCTATTAAGGGGTACTGGGCTTTCCGAGTTAAACACCTATGACCCTGGTCACCTGATCATCACGCGCTTCCTCGCTGAATTTCGCGGCTTCACCTGCACATCGCAAACCTACCCCTACACCCGAAACACCTTTTTTGAACCCAGGCTCTGCTAATTAGCTGGGACCCTAAACCCTAAACACCTAGATCCCGAACCCATGCACAAATGTCGCTGCCGTGTGTCTCGCTTTGGCTTGGTCTGTCTCCGTGTCGCCCGCTCTCTCTGTCTCTCTCTCTCCACTGGCCTGGGATCACATAGAACAAATACGCTAAGTTTTAGACCTGACCCTGGGCCGTCGGGTATGGGGGTTCTGGTTCAAACTGCTGCAAATTCTATAACGGCGTCCGTAAGAGAATCCAACATGTGAATTATTGTAATCATAGTCCCTGAGGGGAAATTCCTGCGAGTTGTTCCGTCCATGATGTCGGCTATAGGAGGTGACCGTTCGTGGTCAGTTCAAGGCTGGCGTTCGGTCTCAGACCCTACCAGGAGGCTTTGTTGGGCTTTGCCTGTAAGATCCAGGGTTTTGGCCTGGGAATTACGTAAACCCTAATTAGACCCTAAACTATCGGGCTGAGGGTCTACGGATTAACCCTCAAGGGGAGATAAGTCAGTTCATGTAGAGGCCTTCATAAATAGAATAGGGTTTGGAGGTATACTATACTATAATTATAGTAAGGAACCCCAACGCATATTAACCAAGCGGTCAACCAACCAATCAATCAGTCAAAGATTCATCAGTTCAATCGTTCTGCCAGGGGTCTACATGTGGGTTTAGCATCCCACAGTTCATAGATGAGCCAGGTCACAGGCATGAGGTACGTCTTTTTGAAGACAGATCCTCACCGAAGATGGAAAGCCCTAAACCCGACCTTCAACACGCCTGACATGCACGGCAGCTATCACTACACTAGAGAAGCCTGGGACATACTATACGTAACTTTCAGAACCTGAGTTTAGTGTTGCGATAAGGCACTGCCCTTGGCACAGATAGTTGCGCAATCACTGGGACTCTGAACTCTGCGTGCAACTAGACCCATGTCCGCTTGCTCAACCAATCTTGGGTTATTCGACAAAGGTCACAGAAGGCTGATGCTGACCCAAGGCTGCAACCCTATGCCCGAACTCCTAGGTCATTCCTTGATCAAGCCTCGCGCCACTCAAAACCCGCTCCAGCATTATAATGCTGAGTTTTGGAGCTGTGGGGCTTAGAATGCAGTATACTGTCTATGATGTATGTACATATATATATATATATATATGTCATTCAGAGTTGGGGGAGTGAGGTTCCGAACATCTGCTTGCTTCAAGGAGGAGGAGTACGGGGGCATCTTTAAAACTTAACCTCGCAAATACAGCCACGAGACCCAAGTAGGCTTCATAGACCTCGGCCGGCAGACACGAACGGATTTGCAGGTATTTCGGGTTTCGGGTTTTAGGGTTGGGTATTTTCAGGGCTTAGGGCCTTTTGGGTTTAGGGACTCATCTACTTCTTCGCAACCCTGGCTTAGGGAAGCTTTAGGCTACTGAAACGTAAACCCTAACCTTAGATTCAAAAATCGGTGTGGGGTTCCTATGGGGCGATACTACCCCACACCGGGGAGAAAGCTGTGCTACTGATTCGAGCATTGCTAAGTTTACGGTATTTCGTGCGGGCCATTGAGAGCTGCAAAGGCACGGTTTCTGTGGCTTCGTGGCTTTCGGCTTTCTAGGATACCCTAAACCCTAAACCCCAAACCCCTAAACCCCTAAACCCTAAACAGGTTTAGGGCATATAGGGGTCTCGAAAGGCATTGACAGATCGTTTGTGGGTGTCGGGTTTGCCTTCCCTTACACAGACGGCCTCGCCACCCAAGAATCCTCAACCTTTAAACCTAAACTAAACCCAAAACCCCAGAACCCTAAACCCTAAACCCCAGAAAACCCTAAACCACAGAACCCCAAACCCCAGAATCCTAAACCCTTTAAGCCTAAACCTTGAACTCGTCAGCACTCAACCAGAGTGAGGTCTTGGACGATTCAGGGCCTCACAACCACAAAATTAAATGAAGTAGTTTCAAGCAGACCCCAAACCCTGATTCCTGAACCCAGCAGCCCTAATATAGGGGCCTTAATAATGAGACTAGGGGTTGGAGCCCATTGCTATATTTGTAATAAGGAGCCTCCTAAAATGGTGTTCTGAATTATTTAGGCCCCTACATTAAATCCTAAACCTGATGCCCCAAACCCTTCAGCCCCAGATCATGGGTCCTACATAGGTCCTACATGTCTAGGTCAACCCAGCAGCGCACCACAGCCGCGAGTAGACTCCCACCGTGGAATTCGGCACAACCAGCAAATGGGAGGCCTGTTTCCGCGGGTCTCTGCACTTGGGAGGACTGTGGCTCATTGCGGGTTCAGGGCTCAGAAACTAGTAACTAGGGTCTATTCTGCTTCAGTTCGTACGACTGAGGGCTCCGAATTTAGGGTTGAGGTTGTATGGTTCAGGGCTTCCTCTGGGAGTGCTGGCTTTTCTTCCGCGGCTTTAAGGCCCAGAACCTCAAAGCCTACCACTACTAGTACCACGGTTATTACCTAGGGGCTGAGTACCCTAGCCCAAAAAGGTTACTGTAACCTTTTGAACTATAGAAGGGTTATAAGAGCCCCAAAAGGTTAAAGCTTACCTACTCAGCCACTAAGACTAATGTTCGGATATCTTACCTCATTGGGCCCGGGAGGATCAGCTTGTGAGTTGAAGGTGCTGGTGAGTTTGAAGGTGTCCTAGGGTTTGGGTGTTGTCAAGCTCCTAAGGCTTTAAGGGCAAACCTTGGCCCGCAAACGACCCTCTCTCTTCGCCGGATAGTCCATGAATGGAGTATATCTCTATAGGGGTGGCTTCGGAACCCTAAACCCTAAACCCTGTCAGGTCCAGGGCAAAACAGAGCTCTAAGCACGCACCTGCTGCAAAGCCTTGGCAAAAGGACTGTTCTCCGGTGCCACATCCAGCAGCGATGAGATGTCCAAGTTCCTCGAGGTCGGGAGCTTACCATCAACTTCCCGTGCAGTTGGAGAACTGCATCAATTCACCTTGCTGTTCTGCCTTGACCCTGATTCTCCTATCCCTAAAGCCGAAGAAACAACTACACCCTTTGTGCTGCAATAACTCTAAGGGAGGACGAGACAGCTGATAGTAGACCTACCAAGGTATATCCCGCTTCGCTAAGGGACTGGCAATTACGAGTATGTAGACTATAGGGCCACGATCTCTCCGCACCAGCGCTGTGCTTACTTCAACGAGGATTGACGCGCAAAACCCTCGACCCAAACTCCGACGAAGCCCGACAAGATACGCCAAGCCAGTCTTCAATCCCAAACCATTAAGGTTGTTTCAGGATTCTAGAATAAGGGCTCTAATAAGGGTATACTGCAGGGTTTAGGGTTGTGTAAACGGTTTAGGTTTAGGGCAAAACTGCAACCTGAACATTGCCATAAAGCCTCAGACCTGCCACCCTCAATCGATCATGGACTAACTCCAAATTTACTGCAATTCTTAACCCCTAAACCTGAAGCCTAAACCCTGAACCCTAAACCCTTAACCCTCAAACCCTATAGACCCTGAACCCTTAAACCCCTAAACCCAAACCCCTAAACCCTAAGCCAGCTCATCAAAGTCTAAACCACGAAACCGTCAAACCAATCACGAGCGAGGTGTCCTTAAGGGTCCAAGTACCCATTATTTAAGGACTTTGGGGCCTTTTTGGGTACCCAAAACCATAAATAAGGACTACTTGGACCCTGAGGGTGCGTTTTCGCCTCTCCCACCTAGCTAGGACGAGCCTGCGTTGCGGTGCACCATCGAGAGCGCAATTTATCTTGGGGCCTTAAATAAAAAGAAAAAAGGGTTTTGGGGTAGGTTATACTATCATAATAAGGAAGACCCCAAAATAATATAGGAAATTATTAGGGCCTCTATATCAAGGAGGTGAGGGTTCAGATAAGCGGCTGTGGGTTCGCCAAAAGGCAGCAGTACAAGTTCCGGCGCACCTCCAGCTGCGGCCACGCACGCCGAATGCTGTTGCCTGAGGGTTGTAGATGTTGCTGTCCTTCTTCTCTCCTGTTTGTCATCGCTAAACTCTATAGTCCCTTTTTGCTGCAGGCTTGCAAACAAGAGCGCAACCCTTTGCAACGGCCTTGTCAGATCTCGACCGGACTGATAGCCCACAGCAGTGACTTCAGAACGCAACCCTAAACCCTAAAGTCTAGTCCCTAAATCCTGAACCTATACCTGCGTTTTTAGCGTTCAGGGTTTAGGGATTTGGGTCTAGGGTCTTGGCTGCTTGTCTTCCGATTCTTCGGCCTCAAAGCTTCTAGGTTTCAGGTGTACGCTAAGAACCACAAAAGCAGGCTGCAAGTCGGTATATTTTAGGGGGTTCAGTATTAGAACAGGCTTTTCGAGAGGGGGGAGGGGCAGACTCACACCAAAGTAGTAAAGAGACTATAAGGGTATACTGCTGAAATTCTTCCGACCTCTATAACTTCTATAACCCTAGACCGCCTAGACCTATACAACGAAGACGAGGCTTGAAGCTCCCTCGTAAGGCAGCCGAGCCACTCAGCTGGAACAGGCCTGCAGACTTCAAGGGATGGGAGACACAGACTACCGAGTCGTCCCTTGAACTAGGTTACGAATGATCTGTCAAAGCATAGTTTAGGGTAGTATGCCTAGGGATCCGAAAGAAGCTGGAAGAAGGTAGATTCTCAGAACCACCCCACCGAATCCCCTGCATTACAGTCTTCTCCCATTAGCCTAGGAACGTGATGCTCCAACTGTCTGACTTCTACTGCAATTATTTCATCTAGTCATCTAGCTTCCATTGTAAGCACACCACCTAAATTCTACACCCAATTCGGGAAGCCTCGTCTTGACATCTTCGAACCTGAAAGCCCCAAGCCCTAAACCAGAAGACAAAAAGCCAAACCCCCACTAAACTCCAAAACCGGAACCATTTACGGCACCCCACTAAATCCTAAACCCCTAAACCCGAAAACCCTCGACTAAAACCTTAAAGCCCCTAAACCCTTTACGGCACCTCCCAGAAAAACCCTATGAACACCTACGGACGCCAGCCTTCGCACCACGAGTGCGAGACGAAAACCTCGCAGTCCAAACCTGAACTTGGGGTTTAGGGTTTAGGCTTTTGGGGGTTTAGGGTTTAGGGTTTAGGATTTAGGGCTTAAGTTTCGCAGGGTTTCAATTTTATTTAGAGGCAATTATCTAGAAAGTAGAACGGGGTCATGCAGCGAGAAAACAGACAAGGCCCTAGTAAGAGCATCGTCGCGTGAAGTCCTTAGGGCCTCAAGTGCAACGGACTTAGGGTTTAGGGGTTTGGGGTTTAGGGTTTGAGGTTGAGGATTTAGGGTTTAGGGTTTAAGGTCTAGGATTTAAGGCTTGGGGTGCAACTTTAAAATTACCGTGCTATAGTGCTGAAACTTAGGCTGACCATGTGGGCAGTTCTCTAAATTTGGGTCCGGTTGAAACCCATTTTGAAGGGTGCCGTACTGTGTTGGGGGTCCATTGAAGGGGACCCTAAGTGAGACAACTACCCACGTGTCTTTCTTGAGTTGGGGGTAACGTTAACATGTTCTCGAAGAGCCAGCTCCTTTTTGTTTTGTTAGGACTCCCAAAAGACTACGTCGGAGCTTTTATCGCGACTTGGGCGACTAGGGTGTAGGCGCATAGGGTTTATGGCTTCCTGGGTGGTGCTGCTTGATATCACTGCGTTTGGGGATTTGACATCGTTCGGTTTGCAGGTATTTGGGCCCTTGGATGTGGGTTTGGATTTGTGATCTACTTCATGGCCGTTGATGGAGGTCTGCAGGTTGATTGGTGGTTCTCGGGCTCACAAAATGCTGGCCTTGATGTTGGAATATTGATTCGGGGCATACTACAGCACACACACACACACTCTCTCTCTCTCTCTCTGTCCCTCGTTCTCTTTTGTAACCTTTGGTATATATATATATATATATATGTGATTATATATCGAATATATATATATACACACACACACATATATATATATATAGATATATATCTATATGTACACCCACATTGTGATCTACAGCCGTATCACATTGCTAAATTCCTGTGTGTCTGGACACCGACAGTTCCGACAGAACGATCCTCAAGCCTCGCAAGGACACCAGGGACAACACGGGGGAAGTCTGGTTGAGTTTGCAAACCTTCTAGAATGCTTCGGAAACCTGTCCTGTGATTTTGCAAGTTTAAGGGTGTGTTGCTGAAACCTCCGCTGCCTTTTTCATAGTCCCAGTACTCTAAACGCAAAGCCCAAGAGGCCTTCCGGGTGCTTCATCAGTGCATAAGACATGCCCCCGGCGGCCAATGTCAACGGCTTGACGTAGTGCTCGTTGACCTGGTTTGTGCATTTAGCATCCTTTAACCCTAGAAAACCCTAAAGGTTCGAGTACCTAATAATCATATGTTCTCCTGTTTGTTAACCTACAAAACTACTATCCGTAACCCAAGTACATGAGCATTAGGTCCTTTGGACCCTTAGGGAAACTTGATACCTAGCGGAGCAGTCAGCTATTTTGTCGACAACTGGGCTTCTAGGGCAGGGCGGGCTGTTTGAGGAGCGCTGGCTGACACCTAAACCCACTTAGGACACACACCCTCTCCCTGCGTCGCTTATCCATGTTGCGAGACTTTTCTCTCAACTTCAAAGAGCACTTCCGCGCCACAAATCGCAGGAAATACTGTTTATAAAGCCTGAACCCAGCGACTCATAGGTTGACGCTTTTTGTCCGAGCACTCAAACTCTGCCAGCTATGGCTCCCCACTGTTAGGACCCCTGCATGGCCTAAGTCCTTGTTTTTTTTGAAGCAGTGGACTTGGTGAATGCCAGCACACCATACCCTAAGTCCTAACCCCTGCATTCCAAGCCCTCAACCCTACATGCCTGCACTTCTTGAACCACAAACCATGGACCTGCAGACACCTCGACCAGCCCCCCGAAAAAATGGACCCTAAACCCCGGGGGCTGAGTAGCCTAGCCCAAAAAAGGCTAACTAACCTTTTAATTGAGGTTTAGGGGTCCTTTCTAATTATGGTAGGGATATAGAAACACCAACAGACGAAAGGCTATCGACTCAGCTACTAAGAGACCCTATACCCTATAAACCCTAAACCCTAAATCCTAAACCCTAAGAAACCCTCAAGGAATGCCGGGGGCCTGGTAGAGGTTGGGCCCGTGCTTGGCGTCGCGGTGCCGTGGGTTCGGCATCGCCTGATCTGGTCTAGGCCGCCGTGATGAGGGTTTAGGGTTTAAGGATCGTAGCAGGGCAGAGAAAGCTTAAAGTTTGGGGCTATCTGCACCCTCAGAAACCTACATTTTCGGGGTTCCATATGTTTTCCGCATATACGCCAGGACCCGAAAGCAGTTGTTCAATTTGGGGTATGGTAGGGCACTAGGCTTCCAAATCCAGCCTTTACCTGTAGGGATTTTGGGGTAAGTACTATTACTAGTTCTTCCGTCCCCTGTATTACACACCAATCACCTACACAATCGACCAGATTTTTTTAACATCAGACTTCAACAGAGGAGGTCCTATGCCTGACAAAGCAACATCCCGAAAACCGTATAAGCCTTTGGCAGCTCAGACTCTGGTGCTGCCTGAAGCCCTAAACCGAGTTCGGCCTTTCCAGGATTAGCTGACACAGAACCCTTGCCTCACGGCCTCTTTACGGACCCCGAACCCCAAGACTTTGATTTTTTTCTGTCAAGAACACTCAAAACCCTAAAACCCTAAACGGCCCTTTTTGAAACCGGACATGATGACTGCCAACATTGCCTCCTCTGCCGTTCCCTAAACGGCACTAAACCCGAACCCCCTCGGCACCCGAAAGCTCCCGACATCCAGCGTTGGATGCTGAATTTCTGCGATCCTATATATAGACACAAGGATAGGGCTGGGGAGCTTCAGAGCTTCCAATATAGCGGCCTTAATATATTGGAACAGGGTTTTGGGCCCAGTATACTATATTGATCAGTGGGAGCTTTCCAAAATATTAGGGGAAGTTAGAATAGGGTTTTTGGGCCCATTATACTATATTTAGAATTAGGAACTTTCCAAAAATTTTTTAGGGGTTGTTATTTAGGCCCTTATCATCCGAAACCCTGACTGGCCCAACACTCTCCGCTTCCACCAGCCAGCAGGCCGGAACAGTTTATGGGGTTTAGGGGTTGGGGTTTCGGGTTTCGGGTTTCGGGATAAGGACTTTGAGCGCTCAGACTAACAATTCCAGTAAGTTCCAGTACGATGAACCCTACGATCGAATTGGGGCTTTGGGTTTCCGCAGCCTCGTTGTCCGGGACCCTCCCATTGGTCCAAGCGGAGCGGACGTCCTGCCACTCTAGCGGCGTGAGCGCCCTCTGCAGTTTCAGTGGGAGTTGTGATATGCATACGTAAATGAATACAGAAATAAATAAATGAATGAATTATATATATATATACATATATATATATATACATAACTAACTGTGGTTATTGCTATTGTTACAATATTACTGTTAAAGGGCTCACGGTTCAACCCATGTAGTTCTAAATCCTGGCCACCTACGGCTGGGCTGTTTTGCCGACAGCGACACGGTTTGAAGACCCTGTTACCAAGACACGCACTTCGACAAGTCGGGGACAAACGGCTGCTGTCGGCCCCAACCGTCAACTAAATCCAAAGCCCTCTTGTGCCTCGAAAACTTTACACAGTCGCACTCAAAGAAACTCTTGCCATTGGAACATGTCCTGAAGTGACAGCCCCTGCCTTTTACAGATTTAATGTGAGCTTACATGCGAGTGTCATGTAGTAATCGTCCCGAATTTAGGTTGACCAAAAATCACCCGAAAATGACTCCCAAATGAAGCAGCTCCCACATAGCTCACGTACCAGTGAAGTCATGGCTGCCCGTACCCCGAAACGACACTTTCAATACACGATCTACTCTAGAGTCTGCATGCCTGTAAATCTGCAAGAACCTATAGTTTGCGACCCTTACCGGTTACTTAGTACCAATTTTGCCATAGTTACTAGTATTCTCACTCTTTTTCTCATTACTGTTAACCCTGCCGGGAAACCAGCCACTCTTGCCCAACACCTCCTAAACTCCCAAACCCGAACTGCCAAACCTGGAAGTTACAACGGACCGAGAAATGCGCCACCACATGAACCGAGAGTCCACCACAAATTCGACGAACTCGAGCTTCGTGATGCACCACCTGCGAAGATCTGCAGCTGTTGTTCTTGCCTACACGCCGAGAAGATGGGTTTACTTACATAGAACGATGTAGCAGTGACACACCAGATTCCGAAGCCAAAATGGGTACCCGTACCGCAACTCCACTGCATCTGCCGGCAGCAGACTTGGTTAAACATTTGTTTTTAGGGTTTAGGGCACAGCCACAAGCCCATCTGGACCAACGTGGTCGCTTGTCTGTAGTTGTGGACATGTGGCAACAAAACGAAAGCTTTCCCAAAGACGGCACGAAAAACAACCTAAACCCCTTTTTGCTAACCCTAAAGCCCTAAACCCCCCTAAAGCCCTAAACCCTAAAGCTCTATAAACCTTAAACCCTAAATCCTAAAGAGTTCGAGGCTGCACCTCTCCGGTGGGATCCGCATGTGCGCCTCCCAGGCATCTGCCAGCTCAGCCATGGCTCAGTCCCCTTTCCTTTTCAATACGCTTCTGTAGGTTTGGGGTTTAGGGTTTAGGGTTTTAAGGTTTAGGGTTTAGGGTTTAACAGGGTCTTGAACTTGGAGTGTCTATAACAGGTGTCGGGTTTAGGGTTCGGAGCCACTGCTTGCCTTCTGAATGTAAGGGTTATGTCAAGGTTTTGAAGGGTTTTTGTGCTTGTACATAGGGTTTGGAGTATTGGGCTAGGGGTTTAGGGCTCCTGCGGCTCTTGGATGGTTCTGGTTTTGATGGTACTGCTTGTATTTCGGGCTCAGACCGTGCCAAAGCTTTAAGCCGGCAATCGGGCGAAGCACACCTCATTGCGATGGGTTTTTGGGGTTTTGAGTTTGTTCAACGCTGTGTCACAAGGTTCCTTCGGGACTGTCGTGCAACAAGTCATCAGCGAGGCAGGCCAACCAGACTTGGCTTCTGCCTTGTGGATCCTTGTTTGCATTTTTTGGCATGAGCTTATTGTGAATCAAAGAGACGACGCCCAAACCTGCATTCTCAATCTGGCTTTTCAAGGCTCACGGCCAAAACTCGAGCAGCAAAAAACATCGCACAGAAACCACAGCCGGAGACATCCACCAAAAGTCTGCGAACCTGACACAACCCTAACCCCCCACCCCCCCATAAGACCCTTTTACACAGGCTTGATTGGAGCTCGCCCGGCCAATGTCCCTAAACGCTAAACTCCCTAAAGCCTAAAGGCCCTAAACCCTAAAATAGGGCTCAAGTTTCCCACTATAAGGGTCCCGGGTGGGGCTTCCGTGAAAATACCACCGCTGTACCATGCCTTGTCATGGGCTGCCTGAAACTTCGCACAGTTTTAAGTTCAGGGGATGCTCCGGCTATGCTCGTGCTGTGGAGCCTCCATGGCCCCCAAGCCCAAACAGCTACAGCTGAACCTTGGGCTGCAAATATCTTGTGCAACCCTCCGCAACCCCAGGCTGTAGAAATACACCTCCAACATAGTCAGCCTTGTATACCCATGACACTGGGCCTAATATCAAAACCCCTACTATACGCCCCCCAAAGACACCGTCTGGAATCACAAACAGTAGAATCCTTAAAACCACCTTATAGAAGTCTTAAAGAAGCTTGAAAAGGCCTTCTGGAAAAAGAGCGCGACTTGCGGCATCTCTGGGGTTACCTGGGCTTGGCCTCACCAATGCGGCAGGGTCCCGCGGTCCAGGGCTTCGGGTCTCTACGAGGTTTAAGATTTAATTAAGGGCTAGGGTTTAGGGTTTCGGGTGTACCAGGTTTAAGGTTCAAGGGTGAAGGCTGTGAGATGTTGATCTTTGTTTCTGGGTAAGTATGTAAACTGGTTCAAGCACCGAAGCGGATCGTCTTCGAAGAGGGCTTAAGGTTTGTAATTCATCAGCCCGGGGCTGCGTAGACGAAACAAACTAGACTGCCGGGCAGGTTCCGCACCCAGAACCCTAAGACACAACTTCTACATACTTCATAATCCTCCTTCCTACCTTTCGACAGCCCCAAGCCTCAACAATCTCACATGCCTAAGCCCGAAATTGCGACCCGCCCTCCCGGACCCGACCGAGCATAGCCACAAAATCGATTTTCCCGAAAAGAACACCTTTCCCGGGCCATAAAACGGAAGTCCGAGTCCTAAACCCCGAACCCGCGAGCCTTAACTCGGAACCCCAGGCTCTAGCCTTTCGGCCCCATAGTAGTTCCTTTTCGGGATTCATATCTGGAATCCTATAAGGTAATCCCCAAAAGGAACTACTATGGGGCCTATGGGTAGCCTTTTCGGCGAGCTAAACCCTAAACCCCAGACCCTAAACCCTAAACCCTAGACCCTAAACACTAAACCCTTAACGCTAAACTCTTGCCCTTTCGGCCTTAACCAAAAGAAAACGGGAACTCGGAACGCAATGCCGGGTACCACTGCCGGCCGAAGGCGCCAGCGGCTCTTCCTGTCAGGGAGCATGGGGTTTAGGGTTTAGGGTTTAGGGGTTTAGGGGTTTCGGTTTAGGGTTTAGGGTTTAGGGTTGAGGGCCTTCTTTCCGAGCCCAGTGCCCCTTAGTGGATGAATACCTGAACACTGAACACGTTCTAGGGGTGCTTGTTTTCGGGCTCCGTACATACATACATACATACATACATACATACATACATACATATATATATATATATATGTACTAAAACTTGTAGGTTTTATTGGGGTTCAGGACTTAACAACATTATGGTGTATTCGTATGACGAAAGGAGATTTCGTTCTTTGAGCGCTGTTGAGCTTCCTTCACTACTTAAAACTGCATGATGCAACTAGCTTTCTTACGAAGTTACGAGTGCCAGAGTTCCAGTCATAATGCTAGTTATACCGTACTTATGTCTCTACTTGTGCAACGACACCTGAAACCTGAGTAGTCTCTTATGGGCACGAGGAAAATGAGGCTCCACTCGAACTGTCTCGCAGGTGCGGTCCCCGAAAAGTCAAACCCAGACCCTTTTTGGGGGTTTTCCGAGAATAAGGAGTACCACTTTTTGGTGGGTCCTTATAATAAGGACCCTACTATTTAGTAGGGTACTATGTGAGGGTCCCCTACTTTCGGAAAACCCCCATTTGAGCATCCCGAACCCTAAATCATTCACCCCACACCCAAAGAGTGATTCCGGCAACTTCAGCTGCCTCAGTCTCTTGGGCCTCAACCAACGGGCCCAGGAAATCCTGAAAGCAAGCAAAAAAAGGTTCAGAAGTCACGGGGCTTGGGTTGAGACTGTTTGGCTGAGGAACTATGGTCCAGGGTCTACCCTAAACCCTACACCCTACACCCTACACCCTAAACCCCAAACCCCTAAACCCTTTTACACCTGGACTACGCATATGCCAGGAACCAAGGAACCCCTAAACCCTACACCCTAAACCCTACGGTTTTGGAACTTCTTGGATGAGGGTGCAGACGTTTGAGGTTCAAGAGCTCCGAGGTTAGCTTTCTTTGTGGCTCTTCCGGTTGAATCCTGGGTTCGTTTTTTTGTTGAACGCCTTTTTCCGTCTGATGGATCATCCTTCATCCAGAATCCACTTTTGTGGGTTCAGGGTTTTGGGCTTAGGGTTCTGTCGACGGATGTGTTTGGAGAACAGCCTCCCAAGCTGCGCTGTCGTGTTGTTGCCTTGTGTCTTGGAATCTGCGCCTCAGCGAGCTTCTGGGAGCTCCAGTGCAGTTAGGGACGCTATTACTTCGGTTGTTTTTGTTAAGGGCCCTTTTCCGTCTGCTCACGGCTGAGCTCAAGAATCCTCATTAGAGGAGAGCTGGGTATGTGCAATTACAAGGGCTTAGGGTTTTTATTTCACCCAGCCTAAGCGATAGGATCCTGCATTCTCAGCCCACAATGAAGAAACGACAAAACAGCACTGACATTCTGAAAGCCCCTTTGTCTCGTCCGCGGCTCCTTATCACGACCGTGGTGCTCGTCTTAACAATCCAAGTTTATTCGGGTATGGAATTGGCCGTTCGATGTCCCACATGCGTTATAGAACGAAATTTTGCTGCCGCTGCGACAGAAACGATCGGGTCACAACATCTTGTCGCTAGGAATTGCAAATGTCCTCGGCAGTTACATGTGCTCTGATTTTAGTCGCTTCGTGTAAAGAGCCTACACCTTTGGACACATGTGTGGACTATAAGGGGGTATGAATTGAAAAACGCATGATTCAGCCGCATGAACACTATGATCACTAGAGATTATTCGAACCTGCATCATGAAATCCTCACAGACAGACCCAAACTCCTAACCCTGAAACCCGAACTCCCAAACCGCTATACCCAACCCGAAAGCCAAGCGGGCCTTGTCATCTCCATGCTCCTCGACATAGGTGGACCTCGGTAGCTCAGGCTAATATAACGCCGTAATAATTAGAATAGACTTTTGTGGGGAGATGGGGTATACTAAAGGGTCGCTGAGGGGGTTGAGGGTCTAAAGGTTTTTTTTGTAATCTTCCTTTAGAGCTTGGGGTAGGGTTTTAGGGCGTAGTAAGGCCTCTCGATTAAGGTTTTAAGGCTCAGTCTCGGAGATTTTTGGGGAATTTGGGGTCGGAGGGCTCCTGGGCGCGTTCTGACGGTCCAGGGGACAGCATGCTAGTATGGCCGGGGGGCCTTGATGATTTGAGATAACTTATGGAAGACTGAAACCCTAAACCCTAAACCCTAAATTAGGAAGACTGTTCATAACGAGGGGACCCTGGGGACTACTATTAAATACTACCGATAGTCTCCATTGTAGTTCCTTTTTTTGGTTTAACCAATTATATATTAAGGAGTTTATAAGGTATCCCCCAAAAAGGAACTACAATGGAGACTATAGGTATTGTTCGCACCTAAGTAATCCAAGCTTCGACGGTATCTTCAAACTACCAGGGCTCTCGGATTCGCAGGTTCCCAGAATTTCTCCACTAGGGCCTTGGACCAGACCCCTAAACCCTAAACCGCTAAACCCCAAAACCCCAAAACCCTAAACCCCCCTAAACCCTAAACCTTAAACCCTAAACCCTAAACCCTAAACCGTTAAACCCCTAAACCCCAAAACCCTAAACCCTTGGTGTTCTGCAGCCTCAGAGTTCTGGGCTTGCGGGGCTCCTCGGGTTGCGGGCGGCTTTTGTGCGGCTGCTGGGTAGTTCGCTGGATTAGGGTCTCTTTTTAAGTCCCCAATGTAGTACGGCACCCTTAGAGAAAAAAGGACCTCCAAAGGGACCCTAATTTAGAGAACTACTGACGTCTGGTTTAAATTTCTGGGGATTAAGACTTACAGCTTAGGGCCCGACATGAAACGTCGCATGCCGATGACTGGGCGCCGAAGCTGGGGGACAGGCAGGCTGCAAAGCTGCAGAAAATCCGCGAGAAAGTCCACCGAATCTTGGTCCACCTGTGGAGTTTCGAAGCTATTGCCACGGCTTGGAGTTGCCGCGTATTAGGGCTGAGGGCTGGGACTGCATGATGACCTCGCTAGACTGCCTGCA